TCAAGGAAAAAATAACTTAAACCGCAAACAGACACGTAAAGTAGCGAAAGCTGCATCAAAAGCCGCTTCATTAAGGCTACTATCAATATTTCAATTATTATTTGCAAATATTTACTCTGAGCCCGAGGCTCTCTTAAGTCTGAATTGCTTGCATCCTTTTCATTTGAGCAGTTAGCATTTCGACCCAATTTAGGTCAAATTGTTCTCTGTTCAAATCGCAATCACTGTCATTCTAAATTAATGTTTATATTATGTTGCCTACCGCTGTCGATTGTACACTCTTGAGTGTAAACAAAGAATCAAGAATTTCGTAAACGTTGGTATGCTCTAGCTATTATATCTTTCATGGTAAGAAACAGCTACGAAGATTCAGAATTGCATTGCAACTAACTGAAAGAAAAGGATATTGCTATGGATTAAAGAAAAAAGGTGAATCAAGTATTTAAAACATCCACTTATCAATAATGTGGTTTTGCATACACGAAAATGCATCATGTACCTTATTGTAAAGGTTGAACGAAACAGACAAGTTCACAAATTTGTTAAAATGATATGTACATAAGGGCAAATTTAAGAGATTTAAAAAAAAAAAAATTTTTTTAAGGTGGACACTGGTGGATATGCTTACCACAGATTACTCGTCATTTTTCTGGGAGCCTTGAGATCAGATACAAAGTTTTCAAAAGAATTGTTAACGTCAGTATAATGATGATACTTACATTACTTCATTTTACAAAGAGGGGGTTGAGAAGAATGGCTTGATATATGGCATTTGTAGTCACGATAAAATGGCGGATCAAAGATCCTCAGTGGGGGGGGGGGGGGGGGGGGTGAGGGGAAGGGGCATAAAATATATACAAAAAACTGCAAAGAACATTTTACCCTATTTCGCCTTATGTCCAGTGCCTCTGACGGGGTGGGGGGAATGTTCTGTTTGTTTTATTTAATGTATACATGTATGTGTACATAAAGAATGTCATACTTCATTCTGCCCCCTCCCGAACCCCGGGTCGTCCCTGGTTGGTTGTGGATCTGGATTGCGTGCGTTCATCCTTATTTATTTAATGATATAGAAGGGTGCCCTTTGTAAAGCATGTTAGGTATCGTCTGTATCTCATTATACAGCAACGCAGTGCACCGAGGCCCGCTAACGACACCAAGAAATATAGGGTACATGAGAATGACTTTACACGTTGACGGTGAAAAGGTAGAGGATTTGGGATTAATAATTTGACAATTTGAGCTCAGATTTCACAAGCATAGTCTTGGGAGGATTTACTAACCGGTGTGCAAAGTGCATGGAATATGTCATTAGGTCCCCCAAGACGTCCACTCGCCGATTCTCCTTTCCTTCAGTCATCCGACAACATGAATAGCATTGAGCCAAGATTTGGTAAAAATGACACGGGAAGGAATTTCGGGGGTTACAAAACAGAGCTCTGATATTGGTTTGGTTTGCATTGAGATGAGAAGATCCGGAGAACAGAAAAGATTTGAAATTGGATATGATGATGGGAATGGTGTCTAAGGGAGTTGTCGGATTTAAGAGGAATCTAAGGGGCGGGGAGAAGGATTGGAACAAGTTCCAGGTATATATCGAAAGTGAAAACTACGCAGGGTATAGGAAAGAGATAAGACAAAATAAAGAAAAACGGGATACATAGAATAAAAGTAATATGGGAAAAGAATCAGAGGGAGAAGAGAGAAATAAGAGAGAGAAGAGAGAAATAAGAGAGAGAAAAAGAGAGAGAATAGAAAGAGAGGGGGAGATAGAGACAGAGAGAGACAGACAGACAGAGAGAAAGAGATGAGAGAGAGAGAGGGGGAGAGAGAGAGAGAGAGATATGAGAGAGAGAGAGAGAGAGAGAGAGAGAGAGAAGAGACATGTGAGAGAGTGAAGAAAAAGGTGGAGGGATGAGAGGAGAGGGGATAATATTTGTAATCATCAAAGCAGAAGCCGTAAGGGACATGATTCAGCTGTTATTTTTAGAAGGTGCAATGTTGAAAAATGAATAATAACAAAAACAAATTAGAAGCATTAACAAAAGACGTAGTAAGGCTTAGATAATCTATTGTTCTAGATTAATATTGATATACCAGATCTTTCTTTCACCCTTGGCCTTTCTTTATTCTGCAATTGTCTCTTGGGTTATTTCTGAGTGTAGCCTGACGGATCCTTAAATAAATCTAAAAGCTTTAAAACATATCCGAATTTGTGCCTTAATCAGTAATTCTACCAGTGTACTTCTAGTAAATATATACATTTAGAATTGTCTGGTTCTGTTTCCACCCTCCCATCGCCGCCTCCATCGGGCCCCTTTCGACCAGCGCAGCTATCACAGCAGCATTTCGAGTTGCCTCGTAAGTGCAGGTTTATACGGAACAGATCCCCGCGGACAACCAAGTCTTGATCCAACAAAGATTTTACGTCGCAAGTTCTGAGCAAACAGGCGCCGCAAGATCTAGGTTTTTCATCACGGAATCTTTTGAACCACCCAATCCCGTTGTATTTGCTCACATTTTACAGTAACTGCTGAAGGATATGCTGTTAAACTCAAATGTCAACATGGTCTGTGTGTCTCCCTATACGATGTGATATTATACTCGATGAATAATACCTTATGGTGAGAAAGTGTCGGGTAATAATGCAGCGAGACTGATAATAAAAGGACGGCGAGGGCGTTTTATTTCTGGCACAAGACGAGCGTTCTCATTTCCGTTTCCCACGCAACTACTCCAGACAGTAACCTCGAAATTGTATCTCACAAACAAAACCAAATAGAGATTGATTTCAGTTTGTGAAATCTGTTTGCATTCTATATTAAAAAGAATTTCTCCCTTTGGACATGATATATAATATGAGAAGCCTTTGTGATGTCCCCCCCCCCCCCTTTGTTTTCATCGAAATTAATATGTTTGATAGTTTGCTTATTGGGATTATATATTGCTTTTATGAAAAAATAATGTTTCCTTGTAATTAATTTGTGTATAAACAACACTTGGCATTTTACAAATAGAGATGAGAGAGAAAGAGATGAGGGAGAGAGATGAGAGAAAGAGAGAAAGCGGATGAGAGAGTGAGGGAGTTGGGTTTGTAGAGAGAGAGGGGGAAAGAAGCGAGAGAGTTAGAGAGAGAGAGAGAGAGAGAGAGAGAGAGAGAGGGGGTGGGGGGTAAGATGGAAAGAGGAGTGAGGGAGAGATAGTTATCACTAGTGTGTCTAGTGGGGGGGGGGGGCTTAAGGGTAATGTCAGCATTTCATGCCTGAAGCAGCTAATGTCAAATCAAACGTATTCAGGTTCTTTCTGATTTGACTGATCGAATCTGTACAAAAGATTTGAAAATATGTTGTTTTCAGTAATCATGTAATGGATGGACGTAATCTGTTTATGCAAACCCGCGAAAAAACTGTACATCGATATCCATGGTAACAATGGTACTTCGGCTAACTCTCTCTCTCTCTCTCTGAACGGATTTGATGATTCCGACATATTACAGGTATCATATGTCATGTAATTGACATACAACAACAAAAACATGGAGTTTAATATTGCATATCACCTAATTTTGAGGCAAAACTTGTTGGAGAAGGGAAAGAAAAATCATGTTTATGTGTCCTTAATTTCGCTGAAAACGAAGGAGCTTCTGGGGCTCTGCCTCCTGGACCCCACCCTGTTAGACGATGCCCTCGTTGCGCTCTACTGGGACACAAACATTAGATTTCAGCCCCCTTCATCACAACATCCTGCACATGCCCATGGAATTACAATGGCATTTTACAATATTCCCTTTTCATGATTCGACGGTAAGTTCTTGTACACGATTTGATTTTATCAATTTCAGTGTATAGGTCAGGTTGGTATAGGTTATAGGTTAGTGTATTCCATCAGTCTGTGTTCACCGCTTACACAACCATGTTGACTCACCCAGCATGAAATTAATAATTGATCACAATACTAAGGAGGTGTCATTATCAAACTTAGTCATGGTGGTAAGACGCTCTAACTCTTAAACATTATTCGGTTATCATCCCACAAAGGAAGATGCTACGAAAATAAACGTTGTCGGTTGTGATGATGGTAGCTTTTCGATTAGCCTATTCATACTACTTATTTAATACCAAGTTACTTCCCCATGGTGATGGCTAAATGCACTTGTCATGATATTTCCATAGATAGAAACTCTTTCGTTTGTATTCCATCCTGGCTGAGAGCGGCAATGTGAAGGGGGCTGTTTCGCGAACAGATCGAGCCTCCTCAACGTGACTCAAGCGGTAATCTAGTCACGCCTCTCCCCGTGTCCCTGGGGGCGAAGGCAATAGCGGGGCGTCCGACCCAATGCCATGCAAGCAGTTAGATCATGACTGAGATGAGATAAATGGCAGGTCAGATAGATCATGAGCAAAGATGAAAGAAGACGTACCCCCAAGTCCCTAGTGAAGGCGTTTATCTATTGCCCACATTCATGTATCCCTGGCGAGCTCAACTCTCCTTATTACCATCAGCGGAGTAGTTTAAGGGTAGGGTCTGAGGGGTCGCGTGTCCCATCCCAACCCCAATCGAAAAAGAAAAGAAAGAAATAACTTACAACAACGAGAGACAGGAACAGAAAGGAACAGGGGAAAGCACTACGCAAAATAAGAGGATGCGACACCCCTTCCATAATTATCATCCCCATCTATTTAGCCTCAGTGTTCTCTCTCATTTTATCCACCTACTAATAAGTACGCCACCTCCCCCCCCCCCCTCCTCCTTCTCAATTCAACAGAGTGTCCCCTTCCCTGAATGGCTCGATGCATGCTTCCCACCCCCCCCCTCCCCCTAGCCCCTTACTGCCAATATCTGAATAGGATACCGTAATATCCAAGCGTCGTTTGTGAATTCTGGGCCCCGTCTTATAAAGAGTTGATATTAATCGCAACTTATTTGTCGATACAGTATTACAACCCTAACCAGAGAAATCACTTCAATAGAAGAAGAAAAGATGAAGAAAATACATACAATTTTATATAAATTAGCAATTTTTATTGAATGAGGATAATATTTGTCTGTCTAAAAGAATATTGTGGAAATACAATAGAAATAATCATACTATTAGAACCACGTTGTCCTATAATCTACACAAGTTAAATTCGCTAGTATAAGCTAGTTTCCTTCAACAAAATCAAAGGATTTGAAGAGATGCTTTTACTAATCACAACCAATAAGTAAAGTTTTTGTCATCATCATTGGACTTACCTATTACCTATCATTTCAATAACAGTTTTCTATGTACATGATAACTTACGTGTGTGGCCCGAGTAATATGATCACATGGGTATTTTGACCATCATTTCTCACTGAAATACACCTTTGTTAAACATGTATGTGCATCATAATGATGAATATACTGATTATCAATATCTACATATTTTTTTATGTTTCAGAACAAAAGTATATACTACCGGCGAAAGGATACAAATGAAATCAAATAGTTTTTTGTACAGATGCATTATAAATAACTTTGTTTTACTTTTGAATCGGTTCAACGAATCACTTTTTTTTATTGTGTTTGACTTTTAATGTCGCACACTTTATACTGAACCTGTCAGTTTGACACAAATTTAGTTTCAAGAAATTGTAAATTGCTGTAAATATAAATTTTCCATGATTTCAATAAGCCTTTGTAGAGGAAGAAGGAAAAAAATGCACATTTTTTTTTAATCACTCTAAAACTATTACAAGCCCTATGTCCACAAACGGCTATACCAATATGTTGCAAAATAGAAAATAAGTATATATAAAATTGTAACAGGTCAAACAGAACACAAGACGAAAATATAAAAATGAAGAAAACACAAATCGAAAGAAGTTAAGCATTGATCATTAAGCATCACACAGTGGCATGTCAGCATTTGATATACACACAGGAAAAAACAAATATTACAACTTGTAATGGGTTTATAAGGTGTAGCCCAAATACATAACGATGCCGACGTCACAGAAACGCTCAAATGCTAACGCTTTAATTGTTTTATGTTAAAAAGATATAAGACAGATAACGCATGACATTAATGAATATATTTTGATAATTATGCCTTGATTTGCAACTATTGAATCGATTTTACAATGTGGCATCAGTGATATGTCATGCTATTGCCAATTTAACTTTATTATTGCTTACGGTACCAAGTTTTGATAACTTTTTACGCTAATCATGTATATTAGTGATTTGAACACAAATTTCATGTAGATGTTCTTAAATATATTACAGTGCAGAATGTATGTGTTCTTTCAGAGCATGATGAAATGGCGATTCTAATCATTTTTCTTTTTAAACACAAATGTCCATATCTTACATGTACTTCATATACATAGTACTTTTCATATTTTGTCTTTGTCAGTTATAAAAGAAAAGTAGGAGTATGGGAGTTTTTTTTTATTCATAATCATGATTACTAGAATAAGTAAAACTTCAAATGAAGTAATGTTTATATATCCATCAATCTTTTTATAAATCAACAGATTCATAAACGGATAAAATTCAATAAAAATCTGGCGAACAAATGATGACAAATATTTTGACCACAAAAGACCAAGAGTGTTCTTATAATATCAAATTTCAACAAGGTGTATTAGGTTATCATTATTGTGTAAGTTTACAATGAATTGATATTAATAGAGTTTAAAAATACATGTATTAATATAAATTATTCATACTCGCATTTCATATTAGCAAAACCATGCCCAACTCATATCAATCACTAATTCGATTAACATGTTATCAACGATTATTCCCATGAAGTATCAAGATTATTTATAAAGTGATACACATTAGCACAGTCAGCATCATTCTTCATCATGTTATACTTTATAGCAAATAGGAATTGCTTATGATCATGATTGCGATTAAACGAAAAAAAATGATTGTTTTTAAAAGGTGCGGAAATTGGTCATCATTTATTTCTAGGTTGGTCTAAGCTTTTGTTGATTACACCCATTTCAAAATGTGACGTGGTAATGGGAATTGCAATATAACCGCTGTGCTGTTGAATAATGGCTCTCTCATATTTTTTTTGTATTCAAGTCCTTTCTCCCTAGATTTACATTTCAACATATATGTATAGTACGTATGTGAATAGACGTGAGGTAAACATTAACGCCTCTATATACGACACGTCATAGTACAGGAAGTACAAGGACTGTGCACTCGTAAACTAGTAAGTGAACACATATTATTATTGATATCACACAAATAGATTACATCCTTAAAATGGAACTATAAAATAGTATGAAAGCACATGAGACTTGCATCAGCCCACATAAACGGACAGGATTAGAACACCTGTATAATAAGAGATAATACAATAATTTACAGCTTTCTGATCACCCTGTTGCAAACACTTCGCGATATCCATTTTTGTTAATGTTAATAGATATTACTTGTCAGGTACTTAACTATTACTTGAAACATAGCAGTTTGCAAGTCCTGAACTATATAGGGTCAGAGACCGAGACGAAGAGGACAACTTTGAGTTCATAAATAGCAACATGACACATGATTCTAGGTTCTATATAGTTGTTTTTGTTTTGTGCTTGTTTTTGTCGTAGTGTGGGATACCACGAAAGGAGATGTGAATATTACTCTAGACAACACATACAGTATTTTTAAGTCGATATCAATGTCTTTTAAAATCAAGCTGTTCAACCACATAAACAGGTCATAAACCTGCGCAATTTGGTTAATGAAAGCAAACTTACATTTGCGGCCTAAAGTTAAATGATGAAAATGATTTATAATTTAGCAATCCTACATGTACGTGATGTTTCTGTTTTTAATTACCCTCTAAAGTTTTGGTACTCGTATTTTGCGTAATTTACGAATGTGTAAATGTATGTACCACGAGCAAACGAGTAAAAACACCGATACCCGTTACAAGGAAGGTATGAAGGAGGTAAATAGTGTCCAACAAATAGCTGACAAACACACAATAATAAATACCGATATGTACAAGATTAATACATAGAATATCCCGGCAAATCAAAAATATGAAACAAAAGAAGAATCACATTGAATGTTTGACCCTGAATGAAGTACGTTTTGTTGTCTGTCCAAAGTTACATTAAAACTCAAACATCAAGATTTCAACATCGCGACCTTTGAACCATAGATAAACGTCCCTGTCATCATTATTAGTGTAGTCTCGTCAGTAGAGCTGATTTATGATTACGTATACATCACCAGGATGCTTCTCGAGTTAAACTGTTGCATAGCATGGCCACTACTATGATGTCATAATGGAAGAACTATAACAAAGGACTGTCTGTCCATAATATATATTCACGAAACCCACACTTTCCATACCATACACAGATTATATGTAATACATAATCATTTCATTTATGATATAGGTGAATTTGGCATTGCTTTATGATTACCAAAATAATGGTGAATATACAAGGTTCCTTGAGCGTTATGGTAAAGTGTGCTGTGACTTCATCAAAATATCAGTTAACATTTAAATATGTTTTTCTCAACCTTCCCACATTGAATGGAAGTATATATATATAAATGTAAAATATAATTTCTCTTCTTCAGCAAGGTCTCCATAGCACAGATAGATGTCTTCCACGGCCCGTGTCGTAACAAAAGAATTCGGGGCGCCAGTTTATGTTCTACTTTAAACTAGCTCAAGATGACTTGACTTTAGTGCTGAATATACCACAAAACCACGCCCTTGGGGAGCCATGCAACACGCAATACTCCCATTGATGTAGATCTCAAGTGACACCAGTACCCAGATACCATCTTTAAACTTTTTCTTCATTTTTTCATTCTAGAATCAATCAGAATCACTTTGACGAAAAGCGTAAGACTGCAGGGACACCGTCATCACCATCGACACCTTCGACGGCCATGAACGTCGCATTGGTTTAATTGAAACCTATTAGTTTGCTGGTTATGCGACTGTTTCTGTCATGGGTATCATTTGTCCGTTTATTCCAGAAGGATACGTTGAAGGAATATATTTATGTTCCATCGAAGGGGGCGCCTTCTTTTTACCGTTGCATCTAAAAGCGAATCGGATCCCAGCCATCAGCTCTGCACATAGTGATTTCTACAATAAAAAACAAAAAGGGAAATCAATAGGATAATATAGCTCATGGATTATCTCATAGATCATTACAATACACATAATTCATCTGAAACGATTAACTCATTTTGTGTGCAGATTATGAAATGAAGGGTAACAAATATTTCGATGATGAAGGGTTTGAAGATAAAAAATTATTGGCTTCTGATATGATCCTCATACCAACCACACACAGTGCTGAAGACCAAGATGCTACAATAATTGTCAACTAAACTATTAAACTATTAACTATCAAACTTTTAACTGTCAACTAAACTATATGATAGTTAACGTGACAAATCAAATGGTGATGTACATTATTCTTTTTGCAATAACACTATGTTAAAAAACCGAGCCTGAATTGAGTTTCTCTTTCTAGGGAAATATCTTTCTAGTTGACGTGCTTCTCATGACCATGATGAAGCCATGTGAAAGTTGTTTATGAATTTCATCCAAGTAACATGATCGTAAATGCATTACAAAATCATCTCAAGGGCAATCGCCTATCCTATGTAAATCATGTTCAGAATACGTAATGAAAAATATGTTCGCATATTTTAAAAGGGGATGCACAAGTCTATTGAAATCGCCTTAAGTTGATTTTTCGACAGCAGTTGCGATCGTGTAAGTTGTACAGTGTGGTAAAATAGATTACCTTATCAATTTCTGCGTTTTGCTTTGATTTCCAGATGAACTCTGCGATCACGGTGATGACTCCGAGAATGAGTCCGGCGACGAGCACGAGGAATATACCCCCTATGTTCTTCAGACCTAACTCGCTTGCATCATCTTTGCTGTTATCGTCTCTCACACACTGGCCAGATTTCCACCACTTATTCTTGAGTTCTAGGAGGACGTCATCTTCCTGGAGTTTCAGGATGGCTTTGGTGATAAGGTCTCGGTATCTCGAGCCTTTAGGGATATCAAAGGAATAGGTAACGTGATATAGTTACCTCAAAAAGTACTGGTCAAGTTAGGAGGAATAAATTCTTAGATTAAGAAAAAATGAATGTTTGTTGGGAATTTATTTTGTATGTTTGAGCTTGTTTTTTGTTTTACAACATCTGGCTATATGGCAGGAGGAGTCTAACATACTTTTTGAAAGCCCAGGGCAGACTGTGATTCCCATGTTATCACAATCTAGTTAGCCAATACTCTGTATGCCCCCATCTTTTACAGCATCGTGCCAATCGAGAAGTACTTTTGAACGCCATCTTAAATTCGTAACAAACTGATCCTCTGCATTTCAGGGTATGTCTTTCGAGCTTTCGTCCCATATACTTTATTCTATTGGGTATCAACATCATGACAGTCATGATTATGTTGAGTACATAGGGCAAATGCCAGTTCGGTTTAAACATAGATCCTACTGCAGGGTCCATGGTTTAAAGGGGTGCATTTGGGCAGGTTGTACCCCCTCCCTCCTAAAATCCGCAACCTTAGTCCTTTACCATTGACATTATTCCGCACGTCCATCCCAGGGGATATTCGAGGCGCATACAAGTTACAAAGTACTACTACCCTAACATTATTATCAGTCATTAGAAAGCTTAAAAATAAGGACTTTATTTTCATCAAGATATTATTTTAAAAAAATCACAATCAAAATGGACTTCAAATAATTTGATCAGAAATTAAATTATGAATCCCTTTTCTACCGATGCACTTGCCGTTGTCGACATTACCTGACATTTACAGCAAGGTTGATATGAGTTTTAGGTAAGAGTGGGCTGACAAACTCATTATTATTGTCGGTCAATGTTTGAATGAAAGGACAACCCTACGGAGCTTTACGATGTCACCTACCTAATGGAGTGCCTACACCATATCCCCTTGAGTTCATGAGTCCACCGATGATGGTAAGGTTTTTACAGTGTTGCGACACCTCGTATTCAGCCATGGTTGACTCCATAAGGAATGCATAGTTCTTGTTATTGAGAACCCTATCGATGCCTTCCCTGTATGTCTGTACGAAGACGTGTGGCTTTGAACTCATAAACTCCCACATGGTCTTGTACGTGTGTATTGTAGACCGCTGCAAAAACAAAAATATAAAATCATCCAGTTACGATGAAGATAATATATAAGTATCGGGTTCCCGAAAGAAGGGCCATAACGAGCTATTTTTCAATTCGATCTAATGACCTTTTTTTGCAGGAAGGCGATGAAATATACTAGGATCGTTGTTGCTATGAAGCAGCATGTTTACCAAACAAATAAGTAGGGATATTAAAGGAAATTAGTTAATCTTTCTTGTAATTAAAGTCATATAAATGTGCCCTCTAATGGTAAGCTATCAAATTAGTATTGTGATAGTACTTTTTGTGGGGGGGGGGGGGACAGGTTTGCTGGAGTTCACGAGACGGGAAAATCATTTGGAAGCGTTGACTACTCTCACTATTGGTCTCCTACATATCACTTTGTTCTTCATTATGTTTGACTATAATACATAAGATACCTCATGCTGTCAAGGAGATAACATTCATGCTGGTAAAACAAACAGCACCATGATGAGAGAATGATGTTAACATTTTAAAACACCTAACCCAATGTGATCCTCTTTAACACATCTTTATCGTTCGTATTGTCAGTGCGGGTGTTCCCCATTAGCAGCATAACATAATCAGGGAATGTACGATGGCAGAGAGAAGGACTCAGCATGATAGCGACGGAAGCTGACACCTAGAGTATGTAGAACAATGCTGGGTTTAGAAGCAGCAACTGTTTCGACCTAGAGGGGTGTCAATTACAGTGATGCCTTTCACGCTATGGGTCGGCTTTTGTCGGAATGACATAACTGCTGGACTTCTTTGAGTCTCACTTACACCATCGAGATGCAAGCGTTTATATTGAAGGTAGATGTAATCAACGTCACAGAGAATTACCTTAGTTTGTCGTGACCTAGATTATCGAAGTCCTATGTGATAGCATATCTATTAAATACATTCCGGAAATGGGTTCGGAAAGACGGAAATCGTTATTTGAAGCAATATATATACTCCTATCTAAACTACTAGATTTTCCTCACAAACTATTACACACTAGAAATGCACACGGGGGCGGTGGCACCCCATCCCCAAGAAAAAGGGATATAGTATGACTCAACGCTACCTAACCCTATTAACATTATTAAGGTAAAGGAGAAAAAAGTATGAATATTAAAGTCAGACTTTAATATTTATAATGCAAAGTTCCAGTCTACAAAATATCAAGATTGTCTCCATAAAAGACGCCATTGTGTTTTCTTCGTGACTGAAGCATTAGAATCATGATAAGGAATTACTTTGAAAAATGTGTTGGTGGCCCCACTCGTTCTTGTGCCATACTCTATCGTTGTCTGCTTGGCTAGGTCATCCGCGTTGGTGATAGGTGAGACCATCCTCTCGACTGTGAGGAAAGCAGCCAGGTTAGCGGTGTAGGAGGATACCAGTATAAGAGAGAAGAACCACCAGAAACCACTGAGGACCCTGGTGGAGAACGCTTTCGGGTTCAGCTCCGATCCTTGTTGCATAAGACCACCAAACGAGAACCAGAGACAACTGAGCAAGGTGAACTGGTTCTCGACTGCATCGTATTCGGGGTTGATGGGGTGAGAGTTGTACCATTCGTACGGGCTGAACCGGGCTAGCATGAAGAAGGAGAGACTCACGGTCAGGTAAGCCATGATGATGTACATCCAGATATCGAAGGAGAGCGGGTTCAAGAACGAGAAGACGCCGGGGTTTTGAGGTTCAGAGACACGGTATAGGATGCAGACTCCTAGGTACATGAAGGGCTTCGAGAAATCAATCACTTGCTCTCGGACGTAGGAGATGGTCAGAGGTGCCACGGCCAGATCAGCTTTCTAAGGAAGACAGTAAAAATCAATCGCTAATTATTTAGTATGTGCCATTTGTTGACATTGTGAATAAAATCAATTATATAGATTTACATGATAGTAAATAAATCATTGGGATTATCTTAATGGAGCTTTAATTTTACACGCTTGCCTTTCTGTTTTTTCTTAAAACTCAAATTTTCTCAACATTTGTGTTCATAGAATGCCGTACGAGAAAGGTACTAAGGAAGTATAATATTTCACCTTAATTTTCTAAACTAATAAGAAATTCGACTTTAGATCATTGTAGATTAGGCAGTTAGGCTGCCGACGATTCACGTCATTGTCTTCTGTTTCACAATGACCTTGTTAACATGTCTGAAGGTTGTTTTTCCGAGACTGGATCTCATTAAGCATTCCAAATCATTGTCATGTATTTAAATTCGAATATATCTTTTTAGAAGTAATATTTAGAGTTCATAGGTGGAATACATTATAGCCAGATGGAACCCCTTACATCATGTATTGTGGTATGGTGGATAAGTCACCGGCTGTATATATCAAGGTACTGGGCTCAGATCCCAGCTCGGCACTTATGTCCTTTGGAAAGACCTTAATCTACATTTGCCACTCTCCACCCAGGTTTAAATGGGTACAAAATGTAACTTTTCTGCGTACAGCAGAAAACCCAAATGTTGCATTCTTTATCAATATTTGACTTCAACCAAATTTGTTTTAAAAATTCTTGCAGAAATGTGTCATAAATGACATCCTATTTCACATTATACAAGTTATTGCACAAAATTTTGTCAAAAAACGTTTTGGCGAATTTGGGACTCCTAACACTTGAGAGGGGCTCTAAGCTTTCGTACACGTTGTAACTGTGCATTTTACATATTTTTCAACGCAACTAACAGACAGCGATTAAAAACAACTGTTTTTAAACATGTTGTCATTTTGCTATGCAAGGTTTGAAGGAACCCATTTCATGCATCTTACAAATCGTACGATATCAGAAATGAGTTCACCCATTTCTTAATCATTATGAATTTATGAATTTCATTCACTAATGAATAGATGGAACGTACGTACCCTTTCCATAAGCTCGGCCACCATCCCATCGAACGAACCATCTTCCTTCTGCCCACCGTAGTTACCATCTTCAACCAGCTTGATCCGGTAATCGAAACCGAGTTTGAGTGAAAGTTGATGAAGGAGGTCGATACAGAAACCTTCAAACTTATCATTGCCTTCCAGTGTACGACCATCCTCGGTGGTCTTGAACATCACAAACGGCTTCTCCTGCGTGGGACAAGAAGGCGATTCTGGTTATAATGGAACCTAAGGCAATTTTAATAGCATTGTGCGTCACCTATTGAAAAATTGTACGAACATGACAATGACGTATTAAACGTAATCTGAACATGATGTCTATATATAGGAGGTTTTTATTACAAAAATTCTATCGTCGCAGTCTTACAACTGGATTGCCATTGGAATGCAATTAAAAAGTACATGTATTTACAAGTTAAAAGTACAATAGTCTTAGAACTATGACATAATGTATGGAACAAACAAGTACATTTTGCGAAAATAGTTGCTTTTTAGTTCCAAAAAGAAGCTTAATAAAAAATCAACGACTTGAACTTGGTACCCATCACATTTCTCATCTCATGAGACAAAAGCAAGGCTAATTAGGGAATCAACCGAGTTGTTGTGAACTAGGCATAAAGTGTTAGCAACTTGTAAGCAGACTACTTGGCGCATCCGTACGTCCTCAAAGCCCGCTTGGAATATGAGTCCCATTTGAGTTCCTTGCGCAAGGTTTTAAGTTATTCTTTATTTTCGTTACGCTCATTATCCGTTAGCTCACACGATGCCAGATAACGAATTAAGAGTTTACATTCATTAATTCTTGCTATGCAAATTAATCTTGAACATTTGGTTTGATTTCTCAACACCATGCATAGAAATGCGATGTCCTACCAGTACAGTTGTAACGACAAGTGTTCTGTTAATTCCTGCTCTGGAAGCTGCAGAAGATTTATACAGAACTGGGTACATGTCGATGCCGTGTTCTCTTGTCCAGTTACCGACCTAGAACACATAGAAAAGAAATCACTTGGTTTATAATGACGTTTCAGTCATGCATTTATACCTTACAAAGTAATTGATGAAAAGATAATAATAATATTTTAACCTTGATTAAGCTTTAAACTGTGAACACTCTGTCATATCTGTAGGCACCCCCATCCCCTCACAATATTTCGCAATAATAAGTGATCATGGACAATTTTCTATAAATAATTATTTTAAGAGAGAAATTTGAAATGTTTAGGAATAATACACGATACACGAATTGTGACTGATGATAATTATATCTATCTATGTTCCATAGCTTGAAGGCTGTTGGGGGTGAAAATGAAATGGACCTTGAGACACATGTTCTCCATAACTTCCTGTCTCCAGCTGTTCTAGTTAGCCGCTCAAATTATATTGCTTTTCATTGCTTGATATTATCAGTCCATTCCTATAGTTGGTCTGCCCCTCTTTCTTCTTCCATCATACAGATATACAACGGTAATTGCATCTGTTTCCCTGGGGGAACCGGTATTCTCTGAGGGGGGGGGGGGGGACTAGTCCGAATAATCTTTCGCAAGAATGCAAAATAACGAGGAGTAATTATGCGATGCATTTCTTCTTCTTCATCACCTTCTTCTCCTCCTTCTTCTTCTTCTTCTTCTTCTTCTTTTTCTTCTCACTTTAAACAAAATCTTATCTTGATATGTTCTTAATGTATGCCAGATTGGGTTTTGCCCCCATTGTTCCCCTTTTGGATCTGCCTGATTTATCACAATAATTTCTTGATATTTCAAAACCCTTTCGGGTTACTTGTTTTCTTACTTGAAGCATCCCTTCTTCATGTAAAGATGTTACGTGTAAGACGACATTGGATCTCTCTCCATCCTCAAATTCAACATCTCCTGTTAATCCTTTCATCACCGTCTAGAGAAAGATTGAAACAAAAATCAAAATTAAAAAATAATCAAGCTTTAGGGTTCAAGTTTCGTTTATTTGTACAACAAAATGTCTTCTTTTGCAGACCATTAATATATACACAAATTGACATTACAAATAACAAACACAATATAGAATTGATTGGTGAATTAGACAGAGATAGAGGTACATGTATGAACACAAAATGGTCCTTTACAAAGTGTAAGACTGTCCAAGAGAAGAGAAAAGGGAAAAGTTGTTAAGAAACAAACGTCTGCATTTCCGATTACGCGGCTAAAAAGAAACAAAAAAGCTGATAAATAATGTCGGTTTGTGCATATTTTGCCAGTATCTCATTCTGAGGAACCTCATCGATCAGTCCAGGACCGAATAACCAATTCTGAAAGCTTGAAGGCCTGTTAAATATGATTAAATACAGTAAGCTGTGTTATATTTCTTTCTGAGGGACATCGCTGAAGGTTGTGAAAGGTGGAATGGTTGCCCAGCTCTTCTAAAATTATAACCCATGAAATATTTGTTATGTGACGAACAGACGGTATTTAACCGATCATGCTCTTGTGCAAGCAGGACAATCAGCATGTAGGCATATTGATGATATCTTCCATTCCATCTCTGTTACTCTGCACTCCAAGACGCCCTTGACTAGCTAAACGAGGACATAGGATTGCCTGGAATATTCTCATATTCTCATATTCTCATCAGTGCTATGGTGGCCGCGAAGGGTCAATTTCAAAAGCTGTCAAGGTCGACACCTTAAAGCTACCATAGCAGTGTCCGCATTTTTCATTCGATCAGCGTCGCATCCCGCATTGCACGGTCAGCTGCCGGGCTGCTGTCCAAGGTGAGAGACACTTCAGTGATGTTAGCACAGTAGGGGTATGGTTTTTTGCAATGGTCGGTGGCGAGTCCACTGTCGTTGTGAATAGCAATGGCTAGAGTTATCTCGTTATGGTCATAATTCAGTATGTAGCCGTCATGGGGATAATATGGGTTTCTTGTTCATGCTTCAGTTGGCTGCCAAAATATTACTTTATTTTTATGAGCAATTCCTGCCATTCGTGGTGCCACATTACATTGCGGGATGCAAGCAATTGATCTACATTTACCACACTCCACCCAGGTGAAGTAATTGGGTACCTGGTAAGAATTTATTCCTTGAATTGCTAGAGCGCCGTATGGCAGCCGTGCTAAAGCCAGGGTAATAATCGGGAGCGCCAGGAGGGTCAAATCTGACAGACATGAGCGCTATACAAGAACCCATTATTATTATTATTTATTATCAAAAACCTTTCATATCTGTAAATAATTGCTCTTTTTTTTGTATGCATACGAGAGCAATAGAAACAAAGAGAGAGAGAGAGAGAGAGAGAGAGAGAATCAGTGAAGCTACCGGTGAGAGACGGTCGGAGAAGGAGAAAGGGAGGATGATAAAGTTGAGAAAAGTACGCTAATCATTCAAAGAGGGGGCGGTACAGAAAACAGGAGACAGGTTTGGGCGAGTTCTAACTACGCAATCTTTCTTACCGATTCGATATCATTGTGAAGTGTAAGTCCTGTTTCCCATGGCTGGTTGCGTTCACATGAGAGTGCCTTGACCGCCAAGTTACTGGTCTGACGGTTAGCATGGTGTAAAGCCTTGGATATGAGATTGACTCCATCGAATGTGATCACGCCCTCTGTCTGTTCGTTAAAGTCAAGGAATTGGAATTGAAGAAAAGGTTAACATTTAAAAACATGTTCACATCTACAGTAGATGTTCTTCTATTCTCATATTGTATTGCCTTGTAAAGGACTGTGATCTTGAGCAACGAATAAGTAGGAAATAAATATGATTTCCTAAATCAGATGTTACTTGCCCATGTGTCACTTCGAATGGTTTCATACAGAGAGGTGCCGTTCGTTACTACAATGACGCTTTTCGAATCAAATACATCACATTAAGAGTGTTAAAAGCTTCTAACGATTTTTTTGTCTGTAATAAGCGGAACTGCACTACGTGTAGCTACTTGCGCCCTCTATATAGCAAACAATGCCTACGCGGTACCCGTTGATCCCCCAAGATCTCCTTTGTTATGTTAAATGAGAACTTATTTGATGAGATAACCACCTGTCAGTGACCACGCAGGGAGTTCTTATCCCTCCTGGCCAAACTAGTGCAGACAGGCTTTAAACCTTAGTTCGATTGCTTGTTGGATGGGTTGTCTTACCGTCATGCCTGCATCTTCTGGTCCGACTCCGTTCCTGAGTGCATACTCCTTATACTCCCTTAAGAGTTCCATATTCTCAGGGACCTGCATGTCAACCAACTGTAGAGCAGTCATGTTCACCATGTCACCACTGTACCGGGTTAGATCCAGGGAAAACGTGTCCTAAAAAAGAGATTATTACAACCAGTCAAGTAAAGAACTGTAACTTCTTGAAACAATGTCACTAATGTACCGGGTTAGATCCAGGGAAAACGTGTCCTAAAAAAGAGATTATTACAACCAGTCAAGTAAAGAACTGTAACTTCTTGAAACAATGTCACTAATGTACCGGGTCAGATCCAGGGAAAACGTGTCCTAAAAAACAGAATATTACAACCAGTCAAGTAAAGAACTGTAATTTCTTGAAACAATGTCACTAATGTACCGGGTTAGATCCAGGGAAAACGTGTCCTAAGAGAACAGAATATTACAACCAGTCAAGTAAAGAACTGTAATTTCTTGAAACAATGTCACTAATGTACCGGGTTAGATCCAGGGAAAACGTGTCCTAAGAGAACAGAATATTACAACCAGTCACGTAAAGAACTGTAATTTCTTGAAACAATGTCACTAATGTACCGGGTTAGATCCAGGGAAAACGTGTCCTAAAAGAACAGAATATTACAACCAGTCACGTAAAGAACTGTAATTTCTTGAAACAATGTCACTAATGTACCGGGTTAGATCCAGGGAAAACGTGTCCTAAAAGAACAGAATATTACAACCAGTCAAGCAAAGAACTGTAATTTCTTGAAACGATGTCACTAATGTACCGGGTTAGATTCATAAAACCAGTCAAGTCAAGAACCGCAATTTCGTAAAACAATGTAAGCATTATCATATTATGTAACCAACCAAAAATAGTATAAAAAGATCATGAAAAAAAATCGCAGAAACTTATGAATTAGAGGTACTTTGTAAGGAAACGACATAATTTTACATTTTTCTACATTTTTTCACATTTTTTACCATATGATTTTAAAACACATTCAATGGAATACAGAGCAGATATTTTAAAGGCCTATCGAAGTTTCGATGAACGTGAACCATGGTCTTGTTATAATAGGCATACATGCAAATGACAATGCTGATCGTGAAGAGAGAAACGGGTAGGGCACGATGCTTCAATTCGTGCAGCAAGCTATGATATGCATGACAATAGCAGGAGTGCTGATGATTATAACGAGGAGAAGGAGGAAGAATATGAGAAGGAAGGTGATGAGGGCGATGAGGATGATGACAATGTGTGCGCTCATAATGATAAATGTTACAACGACGATGGTTTGGGCGATAATGATAATGAAAATGATTGGATATAAAGATTATGATGGAATACTAATAGTCACAATTCAAATCGGAAATTAATGTATCGTAATGGTGGGTGAAGAGTTTACACATTATATTCTGCAATAGAATAATGGAATCAAATTAATAAAGAATTAGCTCATTAAAAAGTTAATGTAATTGAAAATTACTCTCTTAGACTGTGTGAAAATGTGGCTGAGCTTATACAAGAAGTGCGCTTTTTGCATCATTTTGAGGACCGTTTTCATAATTCTGAATATATTGTCAATAGATAATGGAAAAGTAGTCTCTGGTTAGTAGTCAGGGACGTATACTTATCGAATTTAATGACCAATTGCGATCGTGCCATTGACAGAACTCGAGCACAAGACAGGATAATTAAATATATCTACGGTGCTCTTCGTGCTTCAGAACCCTTTGATTGCTGTTCAATTTTGCGCCCCGGTATAAAAGGGGCATACACCAGCGACATCATGTGTCGGATACGCCACCCGGGGTGGGGTGGGGTGGGGACTCTCAGGCAAGGTAATAGTCAAGTAAGGCATACGAGAGGCTAGCTGTCGAAAGCGTGAGAAGTGAATTAGCGTAGACATCGTTATCATAATACTAACCAATGACGTCATGATGTAGCTATAGCCACGCAATAGCATCTGAGCTTCCAGGATCTATTTATGACAAATGATACAGGAATCATGAAAGACATTGTTGGTGGGGTGGAAACGAATACTCACCAGTGGTGTAATAATGTAGTGGTAATAATCCATCATCATTTGAAGCTGCATCATCTGCTCCCGGGAAGAAGATGAGCGAAGAATAGAAACATGACAAGAAAATAGAGATCGTTATTAAATCACAAGCTTTTGTGTCTAGTACTAGCAGCTTTTTCGGAAGCCCCAAATCGTTAGAGTAGAAAATACTGGACGTGATCTATCCGAACCCCGAATTCTCTTCATACATATGCAATTGGTACAATGATTTGCAAGTATGAAGATTCGTTTCAATGTTACTATTTCTTCTAGTCAGTGCCTGTCGGTTGAAAAACTCAAAATTATGAAGAGAAATAGGAAAATATCGTGGACAAAGCCTTATTCATAAGTTAAATCATTACGCAAACCCTTTATAAACGTTCTTATGTTAATACATGGGATACAAATCATCAGTTGATTATAAATAATAATACACTGAACTAACCATAAAAGTCTAATCAAACTGCAGTGGAAATGAATATGTTGTTCAGGTTAGTTTGTATTCTGTGGTGGATTCGCTGTCTACTATAAAAACAGGTTGATGAAAGTTTGCTTACGATATTCCTCTCATGGGACTACCGCAGATGAATATACTAAGGAATATATCGCAACGCTATACTAGCAAACCTAGTCTCATTGACAGTGATTAAGCTACAGAGAACATTTTTCCTCGCCCCCACCCCCCCCCCCCCCATCTCGATAGAGTGAGAGAGAGGAGCAGATAGAGAGAGAGAGAGAGAGAGAGAGAGAGATAGAGAGAGAGAGAGAGAGAGAGAGCGCGTGAAAAGAGAGGGTATCAGGACCGCCCTCATGCAGAGTCAGCCTGGTTTATTTACATTAACCGCCCTTTAAGACCAGTGCCCCCCCCCTAATGATGCCGTTCCTCTTTCGATTTCAGTCAGTTTGCCTTACGACTTGTCTCTTTCTTGCTTTCTCTCTTACATTTTATAGACTCTGACTCCTCTTCTTCCATCTCCATATCAATCTCTTTTTCTTCACCACTGCTTACATTTATCATATATATATATATATATATATATAAATACGCTCCTGCCTATAGGCCCCATGAGTTTACCCCTAATGGCGTTACCTTCTCACGTTTTTTTTTTTTTTTTTTTTTTTTTTTTTTTACTCCAATCCAATTTCATTTGTATTTCTTTCAATGTTCTCACAGGGATTCATATCCCCCTATTTTCTCAGTGGATATGGATTTTGGTGAAAAGCATGTAAAAAATTGGTCCTGGGTATTTTCGTCCAGATGATGCAGGGGGGGTCGACAATCTCTGTGAGTATTCCATTACTAAAATCATGGCATTTGGCACCGAGTTTGTTCCAGAACAAAGAGATGTTCTTCTAACCTTCTCCAGCAGTTGGATTAGAGACTTCCTGGAGCAGTCGATGATGATATGGTTCGCTCCAGAACTCTTGATCCTCTTCATCATGGTGCCAAACGGCATGGACTTGGTGTAGTAGATGGTCAACTCTATGTCCCTGTGCATCGATTCCATTAACACATCCTTTAACCTCGTCAGACCTAGAAAATGACCAATGGAAAAAATAAGAGTAACATAGAAGGGGAAATGAATTTGAACATTAACAAAAAGGGGGGAAATACTTGAAATAATTTAAAGAGGAATTAGACTGGGAAAAAATGAAGCTGAAGAAAACACATGGTCTTGTCCAACATGATTCAACAGTGGACCAATTAAAAAATGGGAAGGTCGTTCGTTAAGCGAGAGAATATGGATTTTTATATGGCTTTACTGTCTCTTGTTCTCTTGAAGGGGCCCTTTATCTGTTAGAGTGGACCGAATACGAACGTGGGACAATTATTGTGTAGCGCTCTATGATGGCAAGAAGCAGAGCCATCTATACACAGAGTTTGGCCAACCCGTTCGAGTTGGACACAAAACAAAAGAATATACGCCATGTTGTGATCCACTGAAACCAAGTTGGTCGAACTCTGTTTATAATGGCTCTGGCAAGAAGGAAACAAATCACTTAATCGAAACTGTGCTCTGAAAGGAAAGAAGAAGACGAATGGGGTTAAAAAGTATACATGGAATATTGCGTTCATACTACTTATAACCAGGTTTGTAAATTATTTTTTCCTGCTCAAGAACCTAACATCCAGGAATTACGAGATTATTGAAATGTATTTATGATTCAAATATATTTATTTACCGTTGTTATTGATGTATGAAACTAAATGTGAATTTACCATTGAAATCATCATAGATGATTGATATCTTCTTCCATCGAAAGGCCTTAACGAGATCCCTGATGGCTCTACTGACGATATCATTGGAGGGATGCATGTATATGGTGCTCTGACCAGGGAGGTGAGGTTTCGGCTCCCAGTGGGTCTGGATATGAGGGATATCCATGACGTCACAAACAGACTGAACTGCCAGGGAGTCCTGGAGGGAGGTGGGGCCAAACACAGCGGCCACGCCCACACCGAGCTGCTGACATACTGCAAAGAGAGTGAAGACAAATAAATCTTTATATAGAGTTAATTAAATGAGATATTAATCAGTTTAATGTGGCGTAACTTGAATCAAGGTCCCTCCTTACCGTTGTACCATATCCTTTCAACGTCTATGCACTTCAAGAAAGCTGCCACACTATCCTTATATTTGGGCAACTACTATATAAACCGTAGCCCTTCTGGACCGTCGGCATCTCTCTCGTGTGTTCACTCGTGTTTTCTCGCTCCACTTGCCCAACTCTTGATGTTGTCTAGATCCATCCTGCAGGACGTCTACCAACTCGACACTTCCCTTCACCTTCGTCTTCGATAGTTGCCAATGCAACATTTTTCTCTCTTGGTCTCCAGTGACTATATTTACCATCTTCCTTTTCTTGACTTATTCCACCATTCCTTCCTCGTCTGATACCATAAATCTGCATCCCTTCCCATCAACTGACCACCTGTTCACAAAAGACAGTGGAATGTCCTCACCCACTGAGTACCTTGTTGCATTAGCATAGTGTGTTTTCATATAGTAGCCCATTGAAACCCTTCTTTTCATGGTGTTGCTTGGGGATTCCTGACATAGCAACTGCTTACAATGGTATTGGATTTTGTGAATGGGCATTGTATAAAAACATGCAATGCTATTGCGGACCGGTGAATGTCTGTTCATCGAGCTGACTGATGAATGACTGGCATGGTGATGTCACAAAAGTCATTTGCTTTTGGAGGGTGTTTTTAGGGGTTGAGCTTAGCAGGTAGAACAAAAGTAATAGAAAAAATAATATACAGTATATATGACATAAATATACATCAAAAATTAAAAAGATTTGTGATGTATTCAGTATTGCAGATCAACAAAAGCTAAAATGATTTTTTTTAAAAATTTAGTCACCCTTTAAAGAATATAAAAGTCATCGTCATACATGATACGTTATAATTGACCATGTTGGTTATTGTGCACATTTTGATTGTGTTTAATATGCAACCGGTTAATACTTCTTTCAAGAGTGATGGAAGGGGGAGACTGATGGAGCAGAGGGTGATTGATATGAAAGAGTGGGTGGTACTTAGACTATTCTAATTACATTCAACACTCCAAGCAAGAATGACCAATCTATATAGCAACATAAAGATTGATATGGCCCAACCCATGAAATTGGCGTCGGTACTCTGAATCCATGCTAAAAAAAAAATCCACAATGTTTGTATTTGTAGGGAATGTTGCTTTGCTGCTTCTCTCTCTCTCTCTCTCTCTCTCTCTCTCTTAAATATCTCTTTCTTTTCCTCCTCTCTCTTTCACTCTCTTTCCTTGTTATAAAAAGTCATGAAATGGTGTACTTCACACCATCATCATGCTTTATTACACGATAGCAGACTTCAGTCTAAAGCCCGCTGGATCAACATCAAGTCAATACACATTGAGACGTTTGGATTAATGTCACTTAGTCACAATACTCCACATCCCATCGATTCATTTCATTGGTTTCTCATCCAGGGTGAACATCCAGAAAATGAACATTCAGGGCATCACTAAATAAACATGTAGGCGTGAGGGTGGAAGGCCCCCGTTCAGAATTTTAAAATTAATTCCTTTATTGTCTAGTATATAATAATAATTTAACCTTTTCGTTGGAAAATTCTGATGGTTTCGACTTTTTCATTTTTTTGTTTAGTTCGTTAGTCAATATTTTGCACTTTTTAATGGCATCTTGATTCAATCGTTTTCAGTTGGCAAATATAATCCTGGAACCCATCTCCGATCTAGCGAAACCAGATTCTGATTCGATTTACTACTTCAATATATGTTGGCATAAAGATAAACCAAACTAAATCCTTTAGGGGTTTATCTTGTCAATCGATATAGATTTGAACAGCTTAAATGTATGAAAAACATGACAGATTGGCGAATACTTTGATCTGGAATGAGATGATGTTACTATTACGTGGACTCGCTTTTTTGTGTTCTTTTTACAATTTACGTCTTTCTTCGATGGGAGTATGTTATAAGAAAAATATGGACTCAGATTGGACATTCTGCTATCCTGTATTAATGTGTTATTATTGACGATGACAATTGCATACCAATAAAACTTTCTGGCACAGACACAAATACTGAAAATGTGAAAGCAGGTGATGTCTCACATTTCATCGATTTGAAGAAAACACAAAACAAACATTGATATTAGAAATCAGCATACGTAAAGTGATTGATAGAGGACCTCTCTAGTACGGAATGGTTTGATGAAGCAGACGAAAAGAGGGGAAAATACCGATGAAACGATATATTTAACAAATGCGTAATTAGCTCTCCCGGAAACCGCTCATCAATTAAGATTAAAGATACGCGAAAGTCGGCGCGAATCACCGCTTCTGGAACAAGTTAAACCAGTTTGAATTATTCAAAACCGTTCTGAACAAGCGCGACGGAAGTCCTCATCCATTCTTGTGATAGAGTTCGCTTCGTTTTAAATGTTTTAAGTGTTGAACAAAATGCAAAATTCGTCCCACAATCAAACAAATATCAATCTCAATTAGGAAAGGCATCTTGTATTGAGGAATGGTAATTTGATACTAGACAGAACGAGTTGAAAGATGAAGAGGAATTGACACAGGGAGACTGAAATTAAGCAAACTGGAGGAAAGAGATTGGAGCAGGGTCAAGGAAATCTATTAGAACAAGCCTCTTCACTTAGGCCAACAAACTTGGTTTCCTGCACCTTCGGTTTCGTGGACATTATGGGGCTTCATTCAGAATTAAAAATATAATTTAGCAAGAGACCGAAACAGGAAACCGAAAGACGCTGGGGGGGGGCAGGAGTTAATCGCTTGGCGAGGGATTGAAGGCTCAATGTGGGCCGAAAACTCAGTCTTGAGAACATTCCTTTTCTGCTTAGTAAACCTCGAGGCTAATGGATCAATTGTGATGTCCCCAAGAGGGATTCTCACTGATACACAAGACAAAGACAGGTAGAGAAATACTTTGAAACCAAACGGTGAAAGGATTCCATCGTCTCTTTGGCACACCTTGCTTCAGGCTGTTTGTATCGTTAACCCTACACCCATAACTAGAAACAGTGATCTTCCATGGCGGAAGTGAGCCATCCATCTAGTCAATCGGAAGGTGAGCAGAGTTCTTCCAATGGCTCCCTGTGACAATGCACTCTGATCAGGAGGTCACGTGATCCAAGAATGCTACTACTTTAACTTTAATCCCCTTCAAACGTCCGTCCCTCATCGTAAAGCTGTCATATAAATCCGTTCATGTTTTCGTACTCATACATTAACATTTAACTAACAGGGAGCCTGTAACAATTTAATATGCGCTTTGATTTGGATATACATGCATCTTTAGTCGAGCCAAGCTCAAACTATCTTGTAATTTATATTCAAGGGTTTCATGATATTAGTGAAATATTCGAGAAAGTAAATAATGCTTTCATTACATAACTCCTTATCCCTGAATAGTGTACTATAACATCAGTACGCATGGGGATACTCTAATCAAAGGTTAAAGCCGTTGGAATGACCCCATAGTCTCACGTATCCAAATTGTATTAAGTGAATTGAACATAACTCGTACATCTGGCCAAGCAAAGCAACCAAGACTGCTTTTAACCTGTCTGACAACATCAGAGAAAATGTTTACAATTGTTAGTTAGGTTTATCAGTATTTGTATGTTTATAGATAAGCAGTGATCTCATTCAGTAATGTAAGTAGTGTTCTTATTCAGTCCCTGAAATTTGCATTGCACTATGAAAGAGAATAAACTGAAAAGAAATTTCACAAAACGAAGTTTGTAAGATTTTCCTTTCAAGATTTATGAGAACGACAGGCAGGGATGGCTTATGTTGTAACATAATGACAGCCCAATGGATGAAACAAAATGAATAACCTACTAGACCTAAATATAGACGAAATATTAAATTCGCCTTGTCTATTTGAATTTAGTTATTTTTTTAAGTTTTCCTTTAAATAAAACATAACTTCTTCAAAGGGTTGGACCAGTTATTCATGTCAAATTGTACTTCAAAAGGCACTCACGACTTTAAAGAAATAGACATGAGCGGAAAACGGTAAACAAGTTAGACATGAGGATTATCACAACAAATACTCTAAAGAAAAACCCGGTCTTAGTGTACCTTAAAAATGGAATGTGGCTTACTAGTTATGCCAAACATTATGAATTCCGACAGCTGTAATCGAATAATGGGAAGCTACTGCTATATCCGCCTCGATCAGATAACATACACACACACACGCACACAAGAGCACACGCACACGCATTAAAGTCTTGTTTTAGATATGGCGAGGTAAACCGCAATTTCAAAAGTCGCCGCGATTTTCTTACGTGTAACTGAATGGCAACTGCGCGCAACATCGGACTTGCGCGTTTTCGCTGAGCTCTGTCTTAGAACATTAACGCCGCGAATTCGCCACCTCCTATCTGAACGAGGCGTTACTTTCTAAATACAGAAGGAAAACAAAAAACGATTTCCCACTTTATTTCAGTCTCCAGCGGAGTCACGTCAGTGATCACTTATTCTTTAAATTTTTGTTTTAAATAGTACCATATCTGGGCAAAAGTCGTTAAATTCTTTGGTTGATACCCTTTTATAAATATTACAAAACCCTTTTATAAATATTACAAAATCTTTGCATTTTATACAATTCTATTTTCACTCGAGGATGACCTAGTAAAAGGCTTTGACCTAAGCCGCTTTATTGATCTGTTGGTTTATTTGGATTTTAGTGTAGATGGTCCTGAAGAAGGGTCAGACCAATTGAGAAAATAAAAGAGATAACACCGGTGATTTTAATCCATTTTCCTTGTTTTGCACTTATGAGACGCCAACTGCACTTTGCACTTGATATATATTTCTATATTTCTTTATCTGTTTTCCAAGCAGGTGCCTGGAGAAGCCTCCCAAAATACACGAATCAATACTCTAACATGTCACGTGGGCCATGATAAATCTCCTTCCCTCGTCCTCATCTA